ATAATCGCTCTCGGTCTTTAATACTTAACGCACCTTCGAAATGGCACCTACCAACAAAACTTGAATGCTGTTCATTATTTCCTTTAAAAAAATCAGTCAAGGCAAGGAACCGCATTAAATGCATAAACGTACTATCTTACATAGAGGTCAAAGAATCTTTTCAAAACTGTAGATGTTCCAACGGCAGGCTCAATTGACCCAAGTATTCTTGGATCTCTTTAAGAAGTGTTCCCGCAAACTTTTTCATTCAACTTCAGTTTAAAAGTTCCTTAGACTGATAAATTAAAAGATTTTCGATGTTTTACTATCTATCCTCGGTTGGATAATGAAAGAATCACAAAAATGGTTTCTTCCGGTAAGTGAATGGCCTAGTTTAGCACCAAGAAACGACGACTACTCAAATCTTTATCGTACTCTCACGTTACACAGCGTGCGGTGTCTATCAAAACTTGCAAAAACATCGGGCTGATGAATGTAAAACCAGCACCGTCATTTCCGAACATACCTCTTGTTTTTTCTGCCGTGCCTTCCGTGAAGACATGTTTTCTTACGGCCGCGTCTTCGAAAAAAACTGTTTGCAACACTAAAATAAAACAGTTCTCCACGTACTAAAAGAAAGGTTATGAGCGACCGAATACTTCGAGCCTGCTTCTTAAAGCCTTTGAATCAAGATACCTGAAAACGTTGATCAGAGGAAAGTTTCTTTTGACGTTACTATTACTACAGCCACAGATATAAAACATTTTATATCAAATTTAACTAGGAACAAGCTCTTTAAAAAGTGGAATTGCTGGCCTCCCACGGCCTGAATATTTGTTAAAATGAAGAGGTAGAAACGTAGTCAAAAAATCTCTTCCAAATCAGCCTGTTAATTAAGGTTTAACCGCAGGCACTGCGCAAAGACTTAATAACAAATTTTGAGCAACTGAAGCTTTCAATTACTTTCATATAATCGGATTCAGCTTCATCCAAACTACGGAAAAAGAGCATTTAAAAAAGACCATTTGGTATCATTCTGCTAAATTATGGTCGTTGACCCAAAAACCCCTCGAAAAAAAAAAACCTATTTAAAATTTTCTCGTTTTTTTACTTCCTCCTAAAATTTTTCAAGCATATTTCACTCTTCAAAAGCTTTGCAATTTTTTTTGGCAAGATTTACCGACAACTTTATGGTCATGACCAAGCATTTGTACAAAATTCTGGAAAAGCCCCGATCTTGCAAATCAAAAACAAACTTCAATCTACTGCAAAACGGTACTCTTTATGATGTTGGAAATATCAAAGTTCAAAAATAAAATGAAATAAAAGTTCTGCGCTCGCTTCTGAGAAAAGAGATAAAAATATCAGCCTAAAAATGATTCCTCTTCAATGAAAACATAAGGCAATCTTTGTAACTGTTTTTCTCACCCTGCCTTTTGAACATATGATTAAAAGCCTCGGTTTATTCCATCCCAAAAAAAAAAGGTTTGATTTTTCTACTATTTTCGTTAACGCAACTAAAGTTTTTTCCATAGTATGCTTTTATATGGCATTCATTAGAATAATTGTTTTGATCTGAATATTTATATACCAAGTCCACTTCGCAGTAATTTTTCAAAAAACTTGTTTGAAATTTCAATTCATAGAAAATTATTTAAGCGTCAATCGGATTTCTCTTGACACCTTCCCAGATTTTTAATTTCTTCACCTATCTTCCTACAGTGCTCCACTTTCAAAATTATGTTCTTTTTCTGAAAAAAAAAAGAAAAAAAAAAAAACGCTCAGCAAAAATAAATGAGTCTTGCACTTCTACTGAACAGTTAGTCTAGTTTGAAATCTCCATATAAAAAACAACGAGTTTTTCTTGGCAACTGTACCGTTAAAAAAGTTACTCAATTAAAGAGCGACCTCAACGACACAGTGATAAGAACCTTTTTTCACTTTACACCTCAAATTTCTCTTGCGAAACAAGCAATCGTCAGAAAAACGGCTTTGTCACTCCTCAAAGTAGCGATAGCAACAGTTCTGTTCAAACAAATCAACTAAAAACGTTTATGATCTCAGAATTTTAGTAAGTAATGCTAGATCAGTAAAATGAGTAAGTCTGCTTGTTCTCAAATGAAAACGAAAAAGTAGTTTATATATATATATATATATATATAT